GCTGGTTACTCCGCTGCCCCTCCCTCCTTTGAAATGGGCCTCTTCTCTGGCTCGGGAGGGGGTGGCAGGGGGCTTCCTCTGGGGGCTGAGGGGGTTAGGCAAGGGCTGGGGCCGGCCCCGGTCGCCTCTAAAAGAGAGGGGGGAAAGAGGGTGCAGCCTCCATTTTATTTCCTCTACTGTATTTATTTTCGCCGCAGCCAGGAGGGAGAAAACCCCAGTAGATCCCACTCACCCTCCTCACCCTGGCAGAGATCCCCATCCCTGGAACACAAGCCAGGCTGAAGTGGATCAAAAGAGGTTTTATCCTTTAAGGCTACGCAACCGGGGCACAAAATACTCCCATCTCCCTGCTTTAAAACAGAATATTCAAAATCAAGACTTCCCAAAGGCATTTTGGCTTCGGACAAGCTTTGTGATTCCCAACTCCAAATTTGGACTTGTTCCCTGTGAAATTTTGGCAGCACCAGAAAGTAACCACAGTCCGTCTTTTGCCATCCAACCGATCAGCAGAGAAGTAAAACGCCAAAACTGCGTTTCAGACCATCTCTGGGGTAAAAAAGTGTGTTTTTTAACAGTCCAGGCCGTGGACACGGTGATTTATTTCCCTCTTCTGCTGGGGGAACTTTTCAGCCAGAGAGAGGGCTGTGACTTCTGAGAACGTATCGCAGGATTCGCGATGCCTGCGGCGCCCCGGGAGGACAAGACACCCCTGGGGTGAAATGCCGCAGAGCGCTCTGGCAGCACCAGCCTCCGTCTTCGGGCCCGGAAGCCCCGCCTGAGCAGCTCTCGAGGGCCGCTTCGAGGCCTCTTTCCCACCCCCGGGCCAAGTTCTGCGAGGGGGAACGACTGCGCGAGAACCGGCCCCCGTGCCCATCTGGGAGGAGCGCCCTGCAAAGACGGCAGACGCTCCACGAGGACTTCTACCCGTCCATGATTTTGGCCTGGCGCGGGCCCGCTTCACCCCACCGTTGTGGCCATCCGGGCTTTTTTACCCCTCTCGGGCTGGCGGGGGCCGTGAGGCAAACCCAGGGCACCTCACCCGACCCCCTCCGTGCCCCTTATTTCCGCCGGATGAGAGTGAGACCCTA